TTTAGGTAGTTCAAAATAAAGAAAGTGAGTATTGTTCATGGGTAAAGATTCATTCAAACATGTGAGAGGACGTAGAACTTGAGGTTGCTCCGCACGCACGTCGTAAATCTATCCACTACTGGCGCCAGAACTCGTAAAATGGCATATTTCCATGCGAGGTACTGTTTGGCCTGGCAAACACGGCCCAATGGATTCGAACTAAGTGTGAAATAATTTTATCTCCTAACAACACAACCGAAAAATGGCAGTTTTTCTTTATGTTCGACCTGAATGGTGCGCGAAAACGGAACACGTGCGCATGTATGGTTTCCAGTCATTCGAGCTACAAAATCCGTCAAGGTAAGATTAGACTTGTCGCGCGTGTAACAAAACAGTTTACTTTCCGGTTATTCCAGTTCCTGGTCAGTTTAATTGTTTATCGGTGCTCTGTAGATCAGCTGTTTACGGCTACTGGCAACCACTGGCGATCGGCTCAAACCTGTCGGTTCGATTTGCTGGAGAACAAAAGTCTGCAAATGGCTCTCATCTTTTGCGTGCGATTGTTAGAAAACTATGGATATCACAGATCAAAACAGTTATCAAACATCGACTATGACTGGTCGAGCTTTAACGGTTTAATCGTCACTTCATACAAGCGAAAATTTTTGCCAAATGAGCCAGAACGATTCACCCACTTGACTGCCAAATGGAAAACTCTGGAACGAAGCTCATACAATTTGAACTTTATTAGAAAATGCATGCATCCAACACCTGTGGTGGAGAAACCGCTCACCGTCAGCACAGCCCAATTGCACGTTGTGGGCGGTATAAAACAGATAATCAAAAGAACACTTGGTACCGTTGAACTGAAGTTTTTGTTTCATGGTTCACCGCTACTCAGAAATCTCTGTAAGAAGCCGTCTGCATTCGAAACATCACTGGTTTGTGCATGCTCCGGAAACCATATTGGTTACACTACTTGGTACTTATCACAGAAGACTCGAAAACACCATCAGAGATGACTGTGGATGTAAATTAGTGAGTCTCGTAACAACACAGTCTTCCAACACCAGACCGCGTGAAATGGATTGCTTAACACAGTTTGTCCTGTTCCACCTGAGTGATCAGAATTGTCTGGAGAGTTGTAGCCAAACTCGGCCGGATAGAGCATTGCCAAACGACTGAGTTCAACTCTGTGTGTACGGAAGCGGCTAACTTAATCAATCTGATCAATGTGGTGATCGATCGACCAACCAATGATGAGCACTGGAATCATGTGACTATTACTAACTGTCTCAAATTTCCGACTCGTAAAGCTGAATTTCTACTTTCTGTTCTTGTTTGTTCGTTGAGCTACGATCATAACCTCCAATAGAAACTCGGCAAAAACATGTGTTTGAGAGAAAGTCAAGATTATTTTGAACATCAACGACTGTGTACCTTGGTGCGACACCACAGTCTAGGTTGTGTTCATCAGCTGCTTAAATTCTACGAACCGAAAAAAAGCCAGCTCTATACAAGCCCTACTGGAGACCTCGGGCAATCAAGGACAAAGCCGTTAAAGTATCGCATAAGAATCTGACGATCATAATAACTGTTTGACTCACTAGTTTAGGACACATTGAAACTTCCCATCTGGATAGCCCCTTAGCTTCCGGAAAGAACAATCTTAGCATGCAGGATTACGCTCAACATCTGTTTATGTCTTACGCTGTTGGTAGTTTGGTCCTACAGTAAATTGCCGAGTAGCACGAACCTGGCCCAACTACTTTGTTTGTTGCACTCAGGAAATCACCAAATGCAAAAATACCCTGAAAAATGGCAAAATGGCTAAGCAGTCTGCTAGACGATGTATGTACTTCATGGTGAAGAAAGCTCCCACAATCTCCAGTCTTTTTTGAGTTGTAGGTGGTTGCAAAACTTGTAGAGTTCGCGTTCACAACAGCTCTTCAGTTCCGGCGCACTTATTTTGATGAGTGCATACCAAACGGGAGAAAACGTGGGCTCAAACTTTGCTCTTATTCGGACTAATCAGTAGTGCATATCCTCGGCCATGCTTTCAGTGTTTCCAACTTTTGACGTGAACTCACCACTCATTTACAAGCGCGCCCGGACAGAAGGATTGTTCATACATCATTATCATCATCATCATCGTCATCATCACCATCAATCATCATAAAGCAACAGCAATACAAATGCCTCGCCTTACGATTCATACAAGAGTGATGTGAACGCAAAATCTACAGCCTATCAATCATACTTTCATACAGATGACTGCGTCTGAGGGGGAAACCGCGTGACATTTACTTGGCGTAACCGAAATAACTAGTTAAAATAGCTGAATTTGGCTAGCTTCCCTGGTGCAAAGGTTAACCCTCAAAAAAGTGAACCAGCAAACAGGATTTATAGCTTTTCGTTTATGCCCCCTTAAAGATTTTTGGGGTCTTCCCATTACTTTGACATGAGTTTAAAATTCAGTGTGAGGCTTTTTGGATTACCATCGTCCCTGTTATTGTCATTGAACCGTCAATCCATCATTGATTTCTCGTCTGGTAGTACGCGAAACCACCCAATGTGCGGCGAGAGCTCCCGTCCGCAAGGGTGTGAACAAATACGAAAGTTGAGTGTCTCAACGACCGACTCATTTGGTATTTTGAAAAAAACCTACCATTTCAGTCATCCGGCGGAAATTGGTTCCTTGTTTTTCGTCTCTTTACCCACGAAACAGTTTTTTTGCCACACACCAGAAACATGCTGTCTATCAACCGCTGGCGCTGTGTGGGTCCTCGGATGACTCAGAAGCTGCGCGAATCTGACATAAACCAGAGCTTCCGAGCCTCTCGAAACCAGTACACGACTTGTTTTCTGTCAGGAAGTCTTGTATATATGTTTCCCCGCCTATTCATTTACAAAAAGGCTGTCGTCTTTTTTTAAATTAATCGTCTTAGGCCGGATACCACCAATAAACTGACGTTGCCAATCTCACCATCACTTATTACTGTGGTCATCGATTTTCAGTTTGGCGGTAGAAGCGGCGATTTCAAAGCAAACCGCAATGGCAAATAAACTATCTAAAAACACCTAATTGCCACCAGAATTGTCCCGCACTCATAATCTTTCATAGTCGCAAAAGGGTGTACCGTGTTGCCAGTCTTGTTAACCTGGGTTTAATCTACGCCCTTCCGGAAATCTGTTAAGCCTTATCCCGTTGACGAAGAGCGCATCAGTCCAATGAGTTGGTAAAACATAACTTGATAATTTTACCCCCCTGCACCGGACGGTATCTGAATTTTAACGAAATGTGCCACCTTAGCCAGACAGCCTGATATTCCGGGCTATTCCTAATGGTTCTTTTTTAGATGATGGATATAGGTTTCTATTCATGGAAGGTTTGTTCAGGTCGGTTGAAGCTGATTGTCCCGGTCCTATATGAGCAATTCTCACACTCACCAGTAGACCCTAACAAGGATCACGCGCGAAGCTATCACTTCTGATTCGGCTTTGGGTAAGAGGCACGTATGACAGCGCACTTTGAACTCTACTCAGAGCAGAAACTCAATCAGCAGCGACAACTCGAAAAGATCCGCATTGTTGTCAGTTCAGTCGTTCCCATTCCGATAATTTCATTGGCCTCCCACTTCTGACTTTTATTTAAAGTACGAATTACTCTCACAACGACTGATTTCCCCATAGAAAATGTTCGAACCAATACACATTCTGGCATACTGGATCATTGAAAGAGAAAGTGGCCTCTAAGTGAACTAATGTACCAACCGCAATATTGTGATGCAAAGTATATCAAATGCGGTTTTCTCGCCGACAAACGGGTGCAATCTTTAAAGCTATAGAAAACCGTTTCATTTGTCCACCTCGCAGACATTAAGTAGTATGGCAAGAGCATATACATTTTTCAAACCCAAGTGAATTATAGATTATCTATACAAGAAGGGCACCAGGAAAACGTTGCCAAGCTGTTTGAATGAAGACCATCCTCTACATATCGGAGATTCTGCAATATTCACCAAAAACTCCACAAAGCCTACCAGTATACAATTTGACCTCGAGGAATTTGATAACACCATATACTGCGTAGTCCCAGCATTCGTTCCTTGGATGGCTTCTTCAAGCCTTCAAAGTTGAAAACATCACAAATGAGGTGTTTGGTTAAGTTCCTTGTTTAAAAGGGATTGTATTTCGCCATTTATGCAGGCTTTCAGAGAATTTTCAGCGACCTTATGAGTAGCAGGTTATCCGTAGACCTCATAAATGGTGTGTATCCCTTTTCCCTTTTGTGAAATTCACGGTACCAGGGCATGATATCTTTCACCCGAAGCCCTGTGAAGGCGTAAATGCAATAACCTACGTGAGTACGGTTATATTAGAGTAAACATAAGCATACGACATCATATTCTCAAAGGGACTGCTCATCACTCAGAACCATTACCGATTGCATTCCGTCTACTGAATACTCAACTCACTATGTTCTTGTGGCCTTGTTCCGCCATTTCTGATTGGTAAGATTCTGAGAACCTGTGCCATTCTTTACGAACGTATGAGTAGCGTTTGCCTAGAAACGATACAGAAAAAAGTCCTCAATGCTGAACCAGAATGCTCAGAAGCAGCATAGCATCAGAAATTCGTTCTAACCTGAATCTAACCTACAGTTCGAGAATAAATGGGACTTCAACAGGTTCATTCCAACACTCGACTCAGTTACCGAAACAGCGCAGTGACACACGAAGCACTCATAAAGATATGTAAAGTTCTACGGAGTTCTGATACTCCCTTTAAAGTTTGGTAAAGCTCTTCAGAGTAGTTCTCTTTCTTGAATGGATCTAGTTGTCAGTCACTCGGTTTGTTTCCCTTCGCACATCAACGCGTGAACTCTCTCTCTCGGTGCTTGCGAATGGCTGAGAAAAGGAGTTATCAAGACGACATCCAGGGAGAGACAGATCCGTAAAAATCAAGCTGGGTTCCGTCCAGCAATTGGTTGCATCGATCATATCTTCACCCTCCGACAGATTCTGGAACAGAGACACTGCTCCCAGCAACCAACACTGGTTGTTTCTTGGCCGGAAAGCTGCCTTTGACTCTGTGGACCGCCAAGCATTATGGCAGTGTCTGTGGAGCAAAAGTGTCTCTTATAAATTCTTGACGCTGAACGCCAACTCCCGCAGCCGTGTAAACGTCTACGGGAAGCTCTCGCCTGAGTTCACCACATCAAGTGGTGTCCGACAGGGTTGTCCTCTTTCACCTCTCCTCTTCAACTTCGTCATTGATACGATCACGGAAGACTCACTATCAGCCTCTAATGCCTATGGAGTCGAAGTGTTCCCTGGGCCTCCGCTCACAGACATCGAGTACGCAGACGACATAGCTCTTCTGGGGTCTGATCCCGTGGCAATGCAAGCAATATTAAATGGTCTAAATAATTCTGCCTCGCGGTTCTAAATGTGCTTTATACCTGCAAATTGTAGAGTGCTACTGCAAGACTGAGTGGGCTCGAACCCTAGCCTCATGCTTGCGGATGAACCGATTGAGGTAGTAGACAAATTTGTTTACCTGGGCAGCTGTATCAGTCCCGGTGGTCTGGCGAAAGATGATATTTCTATCCGGATTGGGAAGGCCAGAGCAGCTTTTGTGAACCTGCGTCACCTGTGGCGTAGGCGTGACATCAGCTTCTCTGTCAAGGGTCGAGTTTACAATGCTGCGGTGCGCTCCATATTACTATATGGATCAGAAACCTAGCCGCTGCGTGCTGAGGACGTCAAAAGACTCTCAGTGTTTGAACACCGATGTCTTCGGAGCGTTGCCCGAATCTGGTGGGAACACTGGATCAACAATGCTGAAGTACGTCGAATGGTATTCGGAAGAAATAACTCACTCTCGATAGATGAGCTAATCACACTGCATAGGTTGCGCTGGCTTGGCCAGAGGCGGTCAAACAATGACTTGGCAGCGAAGTATGAAAGCCATTACCAGCAAACTCAGCTGCACTGGTCATTGCCGTCTTCCTGGGTGGGGACCCCGAGACGGGCCATATCAATGGTTAGAGACATTGTCAGACATGACCCAGTCGCGCGCTCAATGGCGCTCATGCATCCAAGCTATTGCCTTCAATGCATAGCTAGCTCCCTTCCCAATTCCGCCACTTGACAGCCCAATGAAAATGATGGATTTATGCACCAATTTATCAGCTCCCGCCTCCAATGCGCAGCTACCTAACCCCCCCCAAATCATCGGTGAACGAAACTGTGGCAGCTACAACGACTGTATGACAAGTACGCGGTCAGTACAGCTGACAATGATGATGACGACATCCAGGATTTGGGACAACGCCACCATACATATGTAGCATTCTAAAAGAAAAAACCTTTCGTGTGGGTACTTTACTGCAGATTGTTTCATATCCTACGACATTCCTTTCCCTTGTAGTTTTCATTGCCTTGTTTAACATCAGCCGTTCGGCTTCGTAATATTCCATCGGGTTTTAAGTTCATCAAAGTTCACACTTTGGCACAATCAGTTTTTACAGCAGACGTACAGATCACATATGGTATTATCATGCTTCCAGCTTTAGTTAACCACTTTTGTGTGATCACTGTCCAGCTTTAGGGTTTCCGGTCCCGTCCATAGTGACAGTGTCTGCATGAAGGATGTCATTTCCAGACAACAAAAGCAGCGATATGGAAATAAGTTATCTTTTTCTCGTCATTTGCATACGCAATGCAATCAGGCTGTTCCAGTCTATACAAAGAAACAACCGGATCGAGTTTTCTATCCCCAAGGCAAGCTAATTGCGTACTTCACGGGTTTCGATGGGCATAAGCTCTCCACCGCTCACCACCGGCTTGAACGTATATCTTGCAATCGATGAAACCCGTTGATGGCTTGGTCGAGTAATCAGTCAGTCGACTCAAGTAGGGACCTCTGGAAAAGCCTTCGTGTTCAGATTATTCAAGTCATTGACTATTTACTGACTCCTTATAGCAAAAAAACGGACAGGATAGACCGGAACGTCTTTGAATTCCACGTTAAATTTAGTAACTTACACGGTTATTGGTTAATGATCTGTTCGCCGAGCTCGGCAATTGACGATAAGACGTCCTCAGTGTGCAGTAGTGCACACCCAGCTGAGCACTTTCCCTCGTACGGTGACAAAACGTTGCCAAGCTCGGAAACAGATCAAAAGCCACCTGGTCAACAAGCCCAATAAACTCACCCGTGAAGGTTGTTTTCGTTTTGAGACACGTGTGTGGTGATAATTCACTGCTCCACACCAAACCGTTGCGCGTGCAATAAAAAAATGATGATCCACTCAAAACGTCACTTATGTCGGCGACCAGTTGTCAACTTTTTGACATCAACAACAAAAATGAGCGCTTAAACGATCTAATTCCTTGGGATTTTTGAAGACTAAATGTTTTCGCTATCAACGCGGCTTTCAGAATGAAACCTGCCTCGATCTTACTCAGATGATGTACATGGTCACGTGAAGATTCTTGACAAATGGAGCCTCTGTAAAACTATGGGTACTCTCATCTCAGCCTGATATAACTGGTATGATGTCCCACACACTTTGTATATGGGTTCTTTTGGTAAGTCACGTGAATACGCTTCATCCAATCGGGTTTCGACCGACGACTCGCCTGGAACTCAGCCGAATCTCTCGGTTATGATGTATTTTGCTAATTTCGCGCAGCTTGGGTTCACTGTCGACGGAAATTCAAGGAATGCGCCTACCTGATGATCCCCAGTTGGTCGTGGGCTGTTGGAGAGATTTCAGCAACCTTCCAACTCTGAGAGCTTTTCATAACTCTGCACCAAATACGATCCTTGAACCAGTTGCCCTAGACTGAACACAAGCGCAACAAATAAAGGAATGTCAGTGGTAAAAAAAAAGTATTTTCCTCGTCTAAGGCGGACCGTGACTTGAAAATTCTTCATTTTAAGCTTGGTTATAAATGTGGAGGTTACTCACACGGACCCAACACTCTTACTCACGCCGTCATGTACCATAGTACATAAGCCCTTACCACGGTCTCACAGCAGTTTCTGAGAGCTTGAAGTGCCAAAAAACACGTTTCTCTCCTCTGAAAGCAGACGATTCTCGTGTAATCGGGGTATAAGTTAACCTGTCAGTTCGAAACCGGAAATACTTCGCTCGGACTTGTGACTTGTTTCCCAGAGGGGTGAAAATTCAAATGATACTCTAATCGACACTCTAGTATTGAACTTTGGTGCAGAATATTTATTGGCGAACAGCCCTTGATGGAAAATTTTCCCCTGTAATTATATCCGCTTCTTGTTTCTTTCACTAAATAAAGCCACATTTCTCAAGGAACCGCCATTAATCAGATAGTATATATTTAAACGCCATGTTATTATGTGAATTTTTTATATGTATGCAAGCACTTTTGTCCACACATTCATCCCACAAAGCTGACAGTTCAATATTGTCAAATATTTCTACAGGCATAGGTTTCGATTGCTCCCTTTTAGCTGATACAGGAAAGCTTTTTTTCTTAAATTCCAGTATACGCAAGCGAACAACCCAAGACCGGATGAAAAATTCTAAAAGTTGTGGAAAGGTCACCGAGCAGGCGATCGTCAAAACGAACATCGGAAATGGGCAAGTAGGACCCGTCGGAATGAACATAGAAATGTCTAATGCAAGTTATCGACTATAATAAACTTGCCACAAGAATGTGACTTTATCAAAAAGTATCAGTGAAGGGAAGAAGGCCTTCGTTGCGGAGTCATTTATTAGAAAACCCCAAGTGAACAGTTACAGACTGCTGGACAGGGAAGCAAAACTCTCATATGCATCTTGTTTACAAATACAGAACATCCATCTTCTCTTGAATGCGTCTTCCTGAACTTTCCTGGACATTCATTGACTGTTGCTCAAATGCGAGCAAATGCGACTCCACAAATTCCGTAACAGATTCACTTTTCAAGAGACGCGAAGCGGATTTACCAGGAACATGCTGCTTGCATGCCCTAATCAGTAGTGTCCACCGTTGCACCAGTAGTCAGTCACCCTTGAGCCTCTTTAAAAACCTCAAGATAAATCATCCGAATGTGAAATAACCACCAAGTTGCAGACTAAATAAGTATTGATGACAAATCAGTCTCAAGTTCATCTGAATCCCATGTTCATAACTGTCTCCAAATATGTATACTGCACACAGGTCGCCTTGTGTTCAGAAATGAAAGTATCGAACTAGGATACTTTACATAACAGTGCTCCGAAGGTCATGAAATCCCCTTACGGATTTTTCTTGGACCATATTTCTGATATCACACACTTATTTGAACGTGTAAAACTCTTGTTTGAATGAGTTGTAGATCAGATATCGAAACCAACCAGTATCTTAATAAGAAATCCCTCAGCTCTAGAACACTTTCGGTGTCGAGCTGCCATGTTACTAGAAGGATGTACGGAAGCTGAGCTACTGCCAGGTTGCCCAAGCCTAGAAACTTTGCTTTCCTGGTCGGGGTTGAGAGGTAATTGCGAAAGTTTCGAGTTAACAGTGGCAGTGATATTGTCACCCAAACCCATGTTGATGCTGTCACTGTGATCGGTAACGAAACGTTTACAATCCCGCTAACAAGCTCGGCAAACAGACCGACAAACAAGTAGCACATCCGAGGTACCTATGTTTCACATCATTGCTTTCCACCTGATTAAGCAGAGGTGTTGTTCTTCCCCAGCTTTATTCGCCAAAAAGTGCTGGTAAACGGCCCAGATTGTAAGAATCCTTCAAAGATCTGTCGATAAGATGCTAGCGAAATATACTCACTTCCAAACAAATTTGGCTTTGCAGGAGACTCACCTGGAACTCAGCTGAATCTCTTTCTATGATGTTTTCAAGAGGGACATGAAGTTGACGGAAACATGGGGACTGCGCCTACCTGATAAGCCACAAGAAGGGCGAAAGTGGTCGTGAGCTGTCAAGGAATTTTCAGCAACCTTATGAGTAGTATCAGAGTATTCTTAGTTCGGATGCGTTCTCTGGTTTTAAATCAGGTGGATCCAGGGAATTGGCAATTTTCTTGCATATAGTTCATCGACGTTGGTGTAGACATCATCAGTGCGCAGTGTACTTAAAACATGGAACCTGGAGTAAAAGTGATAAAGTTTGAGTCACGTGAGTGCAATGAACGGAGATAAAATGATGCTGATTGGAGCATGTTTAGAAGGATGCCGAAGATGATAGGGATACCATGAAGTCTTTTTTAGACTACGACCAGTCCTCCAACGGGGAGTTTTGTTTTGTTTTAAACGCATGAGTAATGCTTTAGCTGTTCAAGAAACAGAGCTGTAGGGATACATAAGATTCAATGTTTCGGTGGACAACTCACAGTTTAGAATGAGACTGAGTGGCTATCCCATTCTAAGTGCATTGAATCCTACCAGTGTAACGGTGATACTACTGATGGGGTGA